ATATTCTACAGCTGTACCATAGTGGTTGTTCAGGAGGCCACCTGGGAGTTAAACGAACTCTCCTGAAGATCCGAGAACGGTTTTACTGGGTCCACTGTCGTGACGATGTCGAGGACTGGTGCCGCAAATGTACAAGTTGTGCGGCTGTAAAGGGACCTCAAATTCGTAGTAGAGGCGCATTGAAATTGTACAATGTTGGTGCACCATGGGAGAGGATAGCCATTGACGTTGCGGGGCCGTTTCCAGAAACTGAAAGTGGTAACAAGTATTTCATGGTAGTGATGGATTACTTCACTAAGTGGCCAGAAGTCTTCGCCATTCCAAATCAAGAAGCTTCAACAGTTGCAGATAAACTAGTTCATGAAGTCTTCTGTCGTTTTGGAGTACCTTTAGAGATTCACAGCGATCAAGGAAGGAATTTTGAGTCTCAAATATTCCAGGAAACTTGCCGAGTTATGGGTACTCAGAAAACACGAACAACTTCTTACCACCCACAATCTGATGGAATGGTAGAAAGATTTAATCAGACATTGGAGAGGTACCTAGCAAAAGTTGTGGAAAAACGGCAACGAGACTGGGACAGGCACATACAACCGTTTTTGTTGTCATATCGAAGCGCTGTTCACGAAAGTACATCAGTGACACCAGCTTTCGCAAACTTTGGGAGAGAATTGCGGCTGCCTGCAGACCTGATCACCGGAATACCACCTGATGCCCCACGCAGTATAACCGATTATGCAAATGACTTGCGGAACAAAATGAATGACATTTATGAGCACGTCAGACAGACGGGCCAGCAAACGTCTGAGAAGATGAAAACACGGTATGACCGCAAAATGAACAACAAGGGCTTTGATGAAGGTTCACTAGTGTGGTTACACAATCCAGTTCGCAGCAAAGGGAAATCTCCTAAGCTTCAAGCTAAATGGGACGGACCGTACCGGATTGTGACAAGGATCAATGATGTAACCTACCGGATACAGAAAGGTGCCAGAGGTACTCCTAAGATTGTCCATGTGGATCGACTGGCGCGTTATTATGGGGCCAATAATGCTCGGGACGAGCATGTCTTAGGAGGGGGCAGTGTTACGCGCCACTATTAATGTCTTGTACATGGCAACACTAGTTACACTAGCGCCCCCTAGTGTCGAGTAAATGAAAGTATTGCGCGCCACTATTAATGTCTTGTACATGGCAACACTAGTCACACTAGCGCCCTCTAGTGTCGAGTAGCAGAACTAGGAGAGTCGAGATCCTTCCAGAAATTTCGGGACCGATATGTACTCGAACATTCTAGATGTCGCTACAGTAGAAGGTTCTAGAAACTATCTGAGGCCCTATATAAGACCGGTATAGACCACGACCGGGGCAGTATTGAATTGGCGATACAAGAGAATACTTCGAAGCGAAATAACGGCGAACTGTATTTTATTATTAGTGTGATTTTTGATTGTAATTAGTGTTGTGTAATTAAAGTGTCAATTTTGGTAATTCAGTCGGCAGTTTTTAATTGTCTCGAACCCGAAGCTCGTAACAGTATTGAAGCATGCAACACTGCCAATTACAGTGCTGCCAAACAGCTTACGCGTCAAGTACGATGAACGGACAACAGCCGGGCTAATTGTGACATCGGGACATCAAACACCTCAGTCCTCCCCGTGACCATGGGTGCTGTAAAGCATCTGAAACATCGGGAATTAAAAATTTAAATTAAACGCGATAAAATCCGTAAAAGTTAGTTTCATTTAATGCGTCATAACATTGACAACGTCTTGAGATTTTACCTTTGAAATGTGCAATTATCAGGGTTACGTCTATTATTAACACTACAGTCACTCACAGAACAAGTAACTATTTTGGAAAAAAATTGCTTACTAAAAATAACCACTATTACACTCTAAAAAAAATACAAACTATCTAGGAGCTATTTTTTGCGTGCCGACTTGTACCGGCCTCTCATTCAAAATCGGTTACAGAGTCATGAGATTTGATATCCTTTTCTATCTTGCATTTTTGCCATAAGGAATTTTCTTCTCCCTTGCACACTATGTTGGTCTATAGTCATACGCAGTATATTCTAAGTCTATGGTATACACCATGTACAGTCCTGTCGGCCTGTACCTGAACATAGCCCCACTTGGGTTTTTTTATGTTTGATTTTTGAGTTTTTTTTATTCTTAATTAATTGTTCGTCGTTTGTTCGTTATTGTACGATCATAAAAATTGTCTGTTCGTCTTTTAATTATTTATAATTAATTAAACAAATTTCATCCTTTAGTTAGCCTACTCTAAAATTTACAAGAAGAGGTTCTTGTAAATTTTAACTTTTATCAATTTAATTTATTCATTTTTACTAAATATCGTTTGTTCCATCGCCATTTATTATTGTTCGATCATAAATACAACGTAAAAACCCAAGTGGGGCTATGTTCAGGTACAGTCCTGTCGGCCTGTACCTGAACATAGCCCCACTTGGGTTTTTTTTATGTTTGATTTTCGATTTTTTTTTATTCTTAATTAATTGTTCGTCGTTTGTTCGTTATTGTACGATCATAAAAATTGTCTGTTCGTCTTTTAATTATTTATAATTAATTAAACAAATTTCATCCTTTAGTTAGCCTACTCTAAAATTTACAAGAAGAGGTTCTTGTAAATTTTAACTTTTATCAATTTAATTTATTCATTTTTACTAAATATCGTTTGTTCCATCGCTATTTATTATTGTTCGATCATAAATACAACGTAATTGTTAACTATTTAATGTGTTTGAATAGTCGACGGAGCCATGCTATTCGGGGCTCCTATTACTGGGTGGTTTATAAAAAAATAGCCACAAAGGCGATAGCGGACTCTGTTCGCTCCCTTTACTCTCTTACTCTCACTAGACCCTGCCATCCCCTTCTAAATTAACCAGTCCGAGTTGGGGTGCCTCGTGTCCCGAGCTCGCTTCGCTCACTTTTATGGCTAATTATTAACAAAACTTAAGGATGTACCAAGTTCAGTGCGAAACAGGGCCTAAAACACCTTGTCCATGTATCGCCTGTAGTGCGGTAAGGAAAAACATAAACTTCTCTATCATGCGGAAGGCATAACTCTTGTTCTACTAGCATCAGTGTAGGAAAGAGATAAATATATATCTAAAATGTGCTATTGATCCTGGGTTCTGTGGTATATCTACTTTAATACCAGGTTTCTTAAACCTTGTGCCGCATTGATAAATAAAATTTTAATACAGTGCGGAACAAGACTGGGAACACCATGTATCCCCGCGGACCTCGTACCGCCCTCTGCGCTAGCTTCACGCGGCCAGTGTTGTGCATAGCATTCGAGACTGCGCACGCGACTACATGTCGAAACGTTGGCGTAAATAGTTAGATTTAAAAGACAGTGAAGAAGAAGATACGGATGGTAAACGAGGGCATAGGTTTTGTATGATTTCACTGACGCGGGTACGATCTGTATATCGTCCCTATAGAACCATATTTTTACAATATATTCTTCTGCGCTAGCACCAACTATTGCTTATAGAAGTTACAGTATAAACACGCTTTTTTCTACTAGTTTCAACATATACGATACGTGGTAGAGCCAGACTGCAGCTATATTAATAGTATAGTTGTAGGGCGAATGGGTCGGCTCGACCGGGGAACGACCACGCTCTCATAGAATACCAGCGTAAAATAGCAGCTTAATGCTGCTGTGTTTCGTATGGTGAGTGTAGAAAACCGAAGACCCTTTTTACTGGAAAAGAGGCATTCTATCTTTGTCCTCACGGCTGACGACGCATCTGCGTTTTAATTCGCAAACCAAGATAGATGTAGATGTCTATGGGCCACAGCAACCACTTACCATCAGGTAGACTGTGTGCTCGATTGTCACGCTTATTCTATAAAATATATGCTTGAAAAATACACACACATACCCAACATATTCTTTTTAGCTTTTCAGAACTCACATCAAATAAAACACATCATCTCGAAAAGGGTTCAAAGAAGAGGAGATATATCGGATGTTATGAAAAACTCCGTACCTTTTTGCCAAGCGTCAGGCTGACAAAAAAGTGAAGGAAATTCTTACATAATGTACTGGGTGCAAAAATATTATTGTTTGACGTGTTTTAATGAAAAACACCCATAAGTTTGACAAAATAAACTTAGTCTTAACTTCTGTGTTATTTAGGACTTATTAAGTCTAAACAATGAGATATTTTTAAACATACATACCTTTTATTCTCTTATAAGACAGTCTCACTTGAAAAGTGGGTAATCCTTTTTTTGAAATAAATACAATTAAAATAAAGTTTACCGATATTTGTATTTCTCATCACTAAATTATTTGAAAAACTGCCAAAGGCTATAATAAAGAACTTCCCTTATTTAATGCGGTACGTGGCGTATAAGATCCCACATTTTATTTTACCTACAGATTCCAAACTAATTTATCCAACCACGGGCGGCGGCAGATTTAGGTGTCATTGTTAATAATGATGAACACAAAAATCTATGTTTTTATTTGACTTCACGGGGTTTAACAAGCTCAGTGCCGCCATAATTTCTGGTTTAGGACTAGGTTCAAAACGCCCCGAAGCGCAGTAAACAGTAATGGAAAGTATATATAAATTAGTGCCGCTGAGAACGTGTTAATTAATTATAAATAATTAAAAGACGAATAAGCAATTTTTATGTTCGAACGATAACGAACAAATGACGAAAATTAATTAAAAAAATATCCAAGTGGGGCTAGGTTCGAAAGCCACCATGTACGTATAAACCGAAAGGAAAGTCACTTACTATACTCTTTGGTTGACAGTTGACATTTGACAGTCGCTTGCTAAATATTTATTTATCTCTATGGTTGACAGAAAGATTTACCGGCGCCGGCGCGGCGTCGTATTTCGGTTTCGGCATTTCGGCGACAGCGCGCTATATTTGATGAATTTAGAAGTGTGTAGGAAAGCTTAGATCGAATGTTACACAAAAATTGTAATTTGTCTAAAGAAAATGGCTGGTATTAAATCTCTGGCAGTCAGAGGCATAAGAAGTTTTGGACCAGAGGATAGTGATGAACAAAGGATATCATTCGAGAAACCTTTAACGTTGATTTTAGGACAAAACGGCTGTGGAAAAACAACTATAATCGAATGTGTACGTTACGCTTTGACGGGGCAAATGCCTCCGGGGAGTCGAAATGAATGTTTTGTTCACGATGCTAAAGTCAACAGGTCAACAGAAGTGTTAGCACAAGTAAAACTTAAGGTAAAACAATAACCTTTTACTTTTTCGCTTAAACAATGAAATTTATATTGGAAATGTGTAACTCAGGAGTATTTTGATTACCCGTTTATTGTTTCACGTATGTACACTTAAGTACGCGTACACACGCTAACATGTGCTTTAGTATAAGAAAACAATATATTTTGGCGTGCATGCAGTCTTGACCGCCGAAGCTATTATAAAGTGAAAGATATATATAAAATATCTATACAAAAAACATGTTTTTTTTGTAAATATTCTAAGCCAGTGCTTAACTACCATCCCACTTGATGGTAAGTGGTGAAGTCTTTTGCTGAATTTAGGCCCCCCCCCTCCATATGATAGTCTCATAGGAGCGAATATTTGGGTGGTGGATACTCTTACCCCGCATTAAAAGTGGGGTAACAATTTGAAATTCTTAAAATAGGTATTCAAATTAATAATTTGAAGTTTGTTTGTTATTATGATGTATTAATGAATCTTTATGTTAACAGATTGTAAATGCTAAGGATGAACAACTTGAAATTGCAAGATCTATGAGAGTAACCGCATTACAAAAGAAAAAAAGCAAATTCCAGACACTTGATTCATTTTTGTCACTAATTGATGAGAAAGGAAAAACAAAAGATATCTCCTCAAGATGTGCTGATTTAGATTCTATGATGTACGAACAATTAGGTATGTTTTAATTCATATTCTTCTTCAATTTCTGCTGTTAAATATTTACTGCTAGGCCTGAGCTTCTGCTCTTTATTATTACGAGCATTTGCCTTAATCATAAACACTTGATGCCACTTGGCTTTGTTGGTTTGGCTATTTTGCATCTAGCATAAACAATATGGTAAACTTTCATCTTTTATAAGCAATAAGATCATTTTGGCAAATCCCACAGTTGCCTCTTACAAACACCTATGAGACATGAGATGGTGATAGATTATCTTAAAACGGCATCATATGGCAAACAGGGTTGCTATGTATGCATATGATATATTTTTATAGACTTGATGGTAAGTGAATATGGGCGATGGCCCATAACCATAGATGCATTGTTATACCTGAGGACAAAAATGGAATACCTTGTTTCCAGTGAAAAAGGTCTCAGGTTTTCTATACTCATCATATAATAGTATCATTAAGCTGCTATTTTACACTGTTATTCTGTGAGTGTGTGGTTATTTCTTAGTTGAACTGACCAATTTATTCTGCAACCACAATAAAGCTGCAAAATTACTACCTTGTATAAAATATGTCTTTAATTTGTGTTAAAAGACGGAATCAAAATTATTTAATAATCCATTTTATTTGATTTTTAATGCTTTATTTCAATAAGGCAAAGGTAATAAAATTAACTTGTTCATAATGTATTAAATATCTAACTTTCCTTATTACCAATATTTTTTTATAAAAATGTTTCACAATGTTGGAAAGACTTACTTCCAAGTCACATAATACTTTCAACATCCATGCAATTAATTCATGTGTGAAGACATTCTAAAACAACAGGAGATGTCTATGCTATCTCAAAGTATAATTATGCCTAGATATAATGTTCACCCCTATCTTCTTTCAAGCTTTGCTCTAATGTTGCTTAAATTACTTACATCAGTGTTGCAGATCACTGTACCACTTTTCATGCAAGTCTAGGATGAGCCAATTGTTTTCATGGTGCAGCTGTTAATTCGTTGTATTGAGCTAAGATATCATATAATCTCTAATATAATTAATATATTACTAATAATTAATATTAAAAACTTAAGGTAGCTGGACTAACTATGACATCGGGACGTCAAACACCTCAGTCCCTCCGTGACCATGGGTGCTGTAAAGCACCCGAAATGTGGGGAATTAAAAAGTTTAATTAGATGCGATAAAATCCATAAAAATTAGTTTCATTTCATTTAACAATATCTTTACTGAGATTTTTGACATATGTATTGCCTGTTATTGTTGTAATTTATTGTAACAATTGTAAGCAAAAATAAAAGGTGGCGCAGTGGCTTAGCAATCAGTTGTTGCGCTGGGGGGTTCGAATCCCGCACGGAACAAGTATTTGTATGGCTTACAAATAATTGTTCCGGGTCTGGATGTTTGTCCTTGTGTAATTTATGTTTGTAAACTGCCTCCACAACACAGGAGAAAATCCTAGTGTGGGGGAAACGTTTTTTTAAAAAAGAAAAAGAAAGAAAGAAAGAAATTCTTAATCATTTTAAATTCAATTTTAATTTAAAAAAATACCTTCTGGTAGATATTGGATGTAATAGTAAAACAGAGTAGAAGAAGGCTAGATAAAATAGAATGATATTATTCAAATCTATTTATTTTTTCATTGACATAGTATGAAATTAATCTTCTAAGTCCCAATAGAATAACTAAAATTTGATGTAGACTTTTTACCTAGCAGCCAACTTCAAGGCCAAGGGCCTTGAAGTTGGCTGCTAGGTAAAAGGCCTAATGCATTGGCCACTAATTCATTGATAATTTAGTGTAAAGTATCCATGTGACTTAAATTTTAATATTTTTCAATTACTTAATTTTATTATTAAAAAAAAATTACTTAAAAACTACTATTTTAGAATAATTGTTTTACTATTTAAGAAAAATTGCAACTTAAATGATATTTTTCCAGCACTATTTGTCAAGACAGTTTGTGCTGTGTGCATAATCACTTTTACCAACAGCAATTTTGGTAAAGATCTTCAAATTATTATATATATGTGATCTTAATTTACAGGAGTGTCAAAAGCAATTATGAATTCAGTGATATTTTGTCATCAAGAAGATTCTAGCTGGCCTCTAGATGAAGGGAAAAAAGTGAAAGAACGTTTTGATGAAATATTTGAAGCAGACAAATACAGTGACTGTTTTGATCGACTAAGAAAAATAAAGAAGGAATATGAAAATGAAATAAAAGTTTTAGGTAGATATAATTATTATTTTTTATAGAAATAAGGGTGACAAAGGAGCATGCAGTCTATTATTGCAGGGATTTGCTTTAATCATAAAGCTTTGACATAGTTACCTCCATGAGACAAGAGATGGTTGAAGATTCTCTTAAAACAGCATCACATAGCACACAGGGTATGTGTGTATGAGTTTTTTTATAGAATAAGGGTGACTAACATTCAAAATTATTTATTGTAAAAACAGGTCGTGCTATGTACTTTAAAGATAATTAAATAATTTATTTATGAATGTCAAAATGTTATTGCAATTTCGTATGTCAACATTTTTGGGCAGCACTCCATCAACACTGCTTTTGCAAAGTTCAGTCTTATTTCTTTATGTAACTAGCTGGTCACATCAGCTGTCTCACTTGATATTTTAAATTTGTAACTGTACTGATTGAGGAAGAGTGCATTCAAAATAAAGTCCATCCATTCAATTCCATTCCACTTTTGGAATTATGATTGATCATAATTTCATAATTGCCTTCCTGCATGTTTTACCAGATTGCTACTCCATCTAGTGGAGGGCAGTCCTACACTTTGCTTACCAATATGCCACTGGAGCATGTTTCATCCACATCTGGTGTCGGTTCTTCGACCTGTTTGACTGGTTCAATGCCACTTCAGCTTACCGATATATTGGACATAAAAAACTACACAAAACATAAAATAGGAAAATGGAAAATTTGGAAGTAATATAAGCAAGAAATGATTATTTATTTTACATTTTAGCGGAGAAGGTAGCTCACTTAACAGACAAAAAACAAAACTTGGATAAAAAAAAGTTAGATGTTGTTAATACCGAAAGCCAGATATCTGAAGCGGAGATCAAGGTGGCTGAATTAGAACAAGAAATAAAACCTTTAACCGAGAAAATTAAAGCTATTGAGACATTACAAAAAAATTTAGTGGCGATAGAATCGAAACGAGAAAAAATAAAGACTAGGTAATAAAACCCTCTTATTATAATTATTACTGTAGTCTCTAGCATTGCCCATTATTGGACATTGGTTTGATGCTAATATCTTTTTAAACATATATTTTCATTGATATCACATAAATATTCCTTAGGCTAGAACATTTCACAACTCAAGAGCAGGAGCTAAAAAGTGCTATTACTAGTTTATTTGAGGGATCACAAACAGAATTAGAGGAAAATATCAGTAAGTTTTATTACTATTACCATTTAAATTACATTTTGTTCTGGAAAAATAAACTACTGCATGTCTTTTAGAGCTTAATTTCAGCCACCATGTATTATTATTAAACTTTCAATATTATTTTAGCCAACTATGCAACAACAGCTAAAGCCAAGCAAAAGGACCTTGATGATTCATACAAGAAAAATTTTACATTCAATAAAGAAGAAGAAAAGATTGCTAATGAGAAAACATCTAATGAAGTGAAATTCAATAAATTAATAATGTTGGAAAGTCAAAACCAAGAAAAAATTGAGAAAAAGAATTTAATGATAGCAGATACTGCAAAACTTGCTGGCAAGTATTATTATAGTACTCTATAATTTACATACAAACATTACACATTATATACTTTGAATGTTGTAAGGCATATAATATTAGCAATGATCATGATGATAGTCTTAGATATGCTAAAATCTATTGAACTTATATTATAAAAGCTTACCAAGTGCACTAACGAGGGTAACTTTGTATTCTTTAGGAACTCGAATTACGTCAAATAATATATTATACCTTTATAGCTAACTACATACTCATAAATGCTTGTTCTGAAAGATATGTGTTTTCAGATATAAATATTTATTTATTTTCCCTCCATTTATTGAATACAGCTCAAAGAAACATACAGATATTGTGTAGGGGACTTTTGTCAAATCCAAACTAAAGTTAGAGCCTTATAATATACATCACACTCCTGGGCACAGGCTTTCTTTCATTTCTGAGTGCAGCAAAAACCTCTAAAACCCTAAAGCCCCAATGCATGTTGCCCCAAATATAAACATATAAAATATATTATGACTTGAAGTGGGTATTAACCCACTTCAAGTATATATATATAGTGTAAATCAGTTTCATTAGAAACTGATTTATATCTTATAACACTTAAAGGCTTTTTCTACTCTCACTAATAACAATATACTTCTTCTTCTATTACTACAACCCAGTTTGGCGGAATATTTAAAGTAATCTCAGATTTAGGAAAAAATAAATTACCACAGCTATGTCATAACATTAAAAAAAATTATATTTAAGAAATCGAAGTGGAAAAAATTGAAACTGATGAAGAAGCAGAGACAGTGGAAAAAGCTATAACTGAGAAAATCAAAAGTCTGCAAAGTGGCCTTAATGAGCAAAAAGCCCAAGCAGACAGTGAAGAGGAAAAATTGCTAGCGGATGTGAATACTTGTCGTGATGCATTGGTGAGTACTAAGAACTTATAGTACTAGTCCATGGTTCACACCTTCAATTTATTAATTTATGTGTTCCATTATTATAGGCTATACAAAAAGTTATATTTACAATACGCACAAAATAGTTCCACCTAACAAAATATGTATGTCACTGTAGTAATTGAACTAATCTTGTTTACTGCTTAAACACATAATTCCATAATTTGCAAATATTTGGATATTATATAATGTTTTTAATGCATACTTATTTATTTGTTCAATTAACAAAATATGATATTAAATCTTCATGTACAGGACAAGATTTCTGACATAAAATTTCCTAATTAAAGGTGTCACTGTACCACTTTGACTATAAGTGATAGAAACACCACGAGACTTAACGGCGTCTTAAAATTGAGTAGTGTTTGAGTATTTGTGCATTAGTGTGTTAGATATATATATAATAATAATTTTGTAAGCAGCCTTCTGTTATTAGTTATTACATACTAGTTCGTACTACAAAACTACTACAAAACGCTAATTTCATATGTAAGGACCTAATATTTTTAAGTCAGTCGCAGATTTCCATAGAAAAATTCCATATGAAAATGCTGCGGAAGTATCTGAAATAAACTAATCTAGCTGTCTCAACACTATTGAAACTTCTTTTATTTTTAACACGCTTTTATTAGCTTGGTATGTAGATACATAGATATGTAACGGAATTTTTCATGTGATTTTCATCCCCTTCAAAACGTTACATTAATTTGAAACTACGCACACTTATCAAGGACCGATTACAATGCAATAATTTAAATAGTTTGTCCCATTATCCTTGCCAGGATCCTCAGGATTAGCGAATAATTCATAAAACAACTATGACATCTGCCAGTTCAGTCTACTGTAAGCCGTATAAAAGAACTTCGTTCCAACAAAACACGCTTTTGTAGTTAGCCGCACCCAGCCAAGCTTTACTGGTGCTCAGTGTAGATAAATCCACAAACCCAACATGTGCATATTGTAATAAAAAGTTGTGACAAAATTTAAATGCTATTGGTGAAGAACTCTCAGAGATTTCAGATTTAGAACAAACAAACATTTACATTAATTCTTCAATATGTACCTTATTAAAATTAAAAAGTAAAAAGTTACAGCCTATATACGTCTTACTGCTGGCCACAGGCCTCCTCTCATTTCTGAAATATTATATACTTATTATATGAAAATACCTTATCCATAAAAAATATATATAGAAAGTGGCCACATTAAAATAAATTGTTCTTTTGCAGTCACGTCACAAACAAAAAATTTCTAACAAGGAGTCAGAAATACAAAGTATAAAAAAGGAAACCACTAAAATAGAAAAAGAAATTAATGATACAAACAAGTCCAAAGTGCGATTGGAATTTTTAGAGAAAAAAATGAACACAGCTGAAGAGTAAGTAATTTACATATTACTTTTACATCCACATCACTATTGTCGTGACCCTGACCTTACTAGATTCTAGTAGTATGTCAAGTCTTTACAAGTTGTGCAATCAAGCCAAAACCTACCTATCCCTATATATTATTTACCTTGATTAACTTATTTAGCATAAAAGAATAGCAATACTATATACACAATTTATTTCTAAAGTCTGTGGAGTATCCCAAAATTTTCAACCTACTGCTATTAAAGTTGCAATTGCATGGTCTAATTCTGCCTATCTTTGCTATACTGAAATTTTCTGCATTGATATTACCGAAATGCAAACTGTTTAAAATTTGAGCTTGCAATTCATATTTGAACTTCATAATGAATCATTCAGAATTTCATAAACGGCTGAAGTAGCTACTAATTAGAACTTGCTAGATTCATGCTGCACCTATATTAAAAGCAGTGTTATGGATGGATCAGCTCATCTGGGGAAAAACCATGCTATCACAGAACTGTGGCGACGAAAAGTTCCGAAGTTACCGCGCTATATATAGAACAACCCAGAAATAACACATAGAGAGTTGGCCCTTCCCCGGGCTGAACACTTTGCCCGGCGGAAGATCACCCCTTTTCCTTTCATGGCCAAACTGGTGACCCCGACGTGATGTGAACATGGAACATGCATCCTTCGGAAACCTCAACTTCCAGCTTACCTCAAGTACCTAACAAAAATTTTTGTGCACGTATACTGACCTAACATATACCTAACGATCAAGGTCATTTTGCTTTATCAAATCATTAGATGGGGCCCAGAATTTGCGCAGGTCAGATATTATCTGCAGTCTTCACGTCCTGCAAGCTATCTAGCTTTACTAGGTTCATTCTAGCACTGGAATAATGCTTCCTTAGTTACTTTAAACTACCCCCTGCGCAACAACGTTCAGCACGGCTCTGAGCCTTACTGCTCGCCTCTGCTTCACGGCGCTCTCACAGATTACTTGCCTTCTTCCCGACTCACCGCAGACGACAAGGCAATCCACCACATTCTTTGACAACTAGACTGCACCATCGACCTCCGGTCTGAGCAGGGGAGTGATGTGGCAGCCCTGTCGTCACGCCGCAAGTGAAACACACCGAAGCCTATATCGCGATATGAAAATTCCGAAGTTACCGCGTTATACTGGGTGACTTTTATACTGTCTGGAAAAAAATTGGGTGTAACAGGGCTACAATCGGTCGGCACGAATGTATGTCGTAGACAATAAGAAATAAGGCGTATTTTTTTTTATAGAATAGGGTGACAAACGAGCACACAGTCCAACTGATGGTAAGGGGTTGCTGCGGTCTATAGACATCTACATGTATCCTCAATAAAGAATCAAAATGCAAATGCGTCGTCGCCCGTGAGGGCTAAGATGGAATGCCTCTTTTCCAGTAAAATGGGTCGCCGGTTCTCTACACTCACCATAGGAACACAGCGGTGTTAAGCTGCTATTTTACGCTGGTATTCTGTGAGAGCGTGGTCCTTTCCCGGTCGAGCCGACCCATTCATGCTACAACTATACTACTAATACAGCTGCAGCATGGCTCTACCACGCATAGAGCCACGTATATATTTGTCTTTTACAATGCAGCTGATAATGCTGAATTTTAGGTGCCATGCATTACAAAACGAACTAATGCAGTGGGTTTTTTTTTATAGGATAAGAGTGACAAATGAGCACACAGTCCACCTGATGGTAAGTGGTTGCTGCGGCCCATAATATTAGGTTGTCTTTAATGCCGCAACATTCAATAGCGCTTTTGCATTGTGGCTAGAAATTTTTTCGTAAAGAAGGAGGACCTAACTGGTCGTTCTGTAATCAGGCTAGACATTGTCCGCCGTTTTAGTCAACGTATCGTAAGTACATTCCGGCTGAATTTTAGTAATCTGCATTCGTAAATGGCGCCGTATAAAAAAACATAACTGCAAGCATTACTAAGCCAAGTATTACTGTAATTATTTATTACTAAGCCATTACATTCTATTCGATTACGATATACGATTCTAAATGTTGGCTGCAACGATGTGTCGGCCGCCCCTCTCGGCCGCATGGCGCCTACATAACGACGATGAATGCCGAAAGAAGGAAAGAAATGTGCATGCGTCTCGCTCGTGCTACAACTTTCATTCACTAGCCGCTGTTTAAAATAATATCACCTATTTATAGTTTTACGTTAATGCCCTAGGATGAATTGCTTTTATGTATTTTTTTGTATTTTTGGAAATTTTGCCTATCACTGATATTTTACAAATACTTACGAGGATAGCTTCTATTCCACTTAAAAAAAAACATATTATTTTCCAGATGGTAAAAAAGTCACCCAGTATATAAAACACCTCCGAATTAACACATGGACCACTGGCCGCTCCCCGGGACGAACACTTTGCCCGGCGGGTGATCTCCCCTTTTCCTTCCACGGCCACACCAGCATAAAATATCTGCACAATATGCTGTTTCGTGTCGTGAGTGTGGAGAATTGTGACCCTTCTTTTAGCAAGGCATTTTATTTTAGTCCTTAGAAGTGACATCGCATCTGCATTTTAATTCTAAATCAATGATAGATGTACAATTCATTCAGTTATCTAAAAGTCTTTAAACTGGTACCACATAGTATTCAATAATAACTTAAGGTATTGATGCAATTCTTCATTTGTATTAATAAATGTCACAAATTACATTATAAATTATTAGTTGTACCCAAAAAAGCTTGGCTATACGTATATTGCTATTTTCTTCTACTTTTGTTAAAAATATCTTTTTCGCTTTTTTCTTTTTCATGATTTAAAAACGCGAATGATTACATTTTATATATATTAAAGTTAAATATAGTCTATTTTCTTTATCATACTATAGAGCCTGGATAATCTGAACCCCCGATCATTAAACACCACTCGTCAAAGTACTATACTAGATATTTTTTTTTACAATTAATACATATTGATTAAAATGTGTATTCACTTTTAATTATAAAATCTGTTTCATTTCAAAAAACACTAAAATATCTACATACTATAATCCGTAATGTAATTCTATACACAAATAAATAAGATTGATATGTCTGTCTCTAATATCGAAATAACTGCCTTCTATTTGGCACTGGGGACGATTTGCATTAAGAATAAGGTGTTATAACCTTTATTACAAAAAAATATTAGATCTTCAATATTTTATCTTAAACATTTCATCACACATTGTTTTTGAGATACCAGCAAAAAAACAAACTGGAGTTTCTGAGTTCAGAAACTTTACTTTAGAACTGCAGTTTTTTTGTTTAAGTTGTATGCGAACGAGGACGCGGGTTAAAAGCTATTATATAAATATTATGAAATGTTTTAAGGGATTACCAACAAGTTCTAAATGAATTGAATCCTGAGGAGTGCCAGAAAAAAATCAATGAAAATGAAGCTGATATGGAGAAAAAGGAGCATGACCTTGAAGAACTCAATGAAAAGGTGCCGTTTTAAGTATTGAATTTTTTTGTGGATTTTATAAGTAAAATACTTCTAAATGTATGTGTGCTATGCCAGTTCATTAGCACTGTTTACTAAATGTGTGAGAGTGAATTTAATATGTATTCATTGAGTGATGACTAAAAAGGCAATGAAAGGAATATGTACAATATTTGTGGAGGGAAGGCTAGTGTTTCCTTGTAAACTAATCCTAAAATACTGTAATTGGCAGTCGCACTGCCTCATTATTTCTTCTTCTAAATTAGCACTTCTTTATATGTAACATTAAAAATACCGTATTTTGTGGCCCTATTCCACATTATTTTTTCAGGATATTTTATTATTAATTAGATAATTTATTAATTCTTACCAGAATAACGAGACATTTCGATAATAGCTTTTATAAAATAATAAATATTTATTAAGCTCACTGTAATATCAAAGTTATGGATTAGAAGCCGATCCCCCGCATATTTCCAATATTTTGGTCATAGTATATTATTAAACTTGCAATATAGAAAGATTCTAAGACACAACAAAATATCGACAGCTATTACAGCTTTACTGATTTATCATTAGCAATAATTGAAATAATATCAACATGCTTAGACACTTTGCCGAGCTCTCATCTCAGGCGTATCTCGCTTATAGCCGGGGCGGCATCAGAGGCGGCTGAACTAAGTGGCGCAGTCATTTGCTATAGAGATTGTCAGTCCGTGAGATCCACTTGCGGTGAAGTTCCTAAAGGATAGTACCCGCGACTTATCGTTGTCGTTGGTGACAAGAGGGCTGTTTTTTTTCGCGCTCAAAAGCTAAGCATAGCCATTTAGCGAGAAAACGCAGCCAGCGATCTTGGCACTATACCGTGGAGAATAGGACTGTATGACAATTATAGTTTTTTTTTTTAATTTTGATAATAAATATTATATATTTTTATGAAATGAAATTATTTTTATGTTCCTGGTCGGGTTATATGTTGTTCAGAGCAAAATGAAAGGAACTTTAACTGCTTCGAACTGCTATTACTTTTGGTGAACTTAGAATAAAATATTGAGTAAAAAATATATCAAATTCAATTACATATTATTGTTTTTAAAATTATTGCCTTTAATATTGCATCAACACACAAACTATACAAACTAAAAATATCACATTCTTTTATAGATCACAAAACTACAAAAGCAAACTGCAAAACTAAAGGAGAGGGATATGATTGAAGACTCTCTGAAACAGAAGGAGAAGCAGATGAATGTTCTGAAAAACAAGCACAGAACAACATTAACAGAGTTGCTTGGTGAGATGCCAGATAAGAATTTCGCTATGGCTGTTAACAAATTGGAATGCGAATTGCGCACCGAGGTTGACGGTGTTAAAAAGAAATTAAAAGAAAATCATACGAAGGTAAATTTATATATGAGTTGCTAATAACATTATTAATTAAAAATAAATTTTCGGTGTATTAGTTTATAACAACAAGTGTGTAACTCGATGTTAACACTAATACCAATGTTTTAGAAGAATTATCATCATCAGCATTGCAGCCCATCAGAAGCCTACTACTAAATATAGGCCTCCAATATCGCCGTAAATCATTGTCATTCTGAACTACTGATGGGACTTTTACAGGATTCAACTGAAATTGCCTTCCTCGCATACTGTGAAATTAACATTAAGTCTCGGAGCTACCTCTACCTCTACTTTAGATAATATATTTTTTTATAGTTGACTAGTTTGGAGACAGAGCGGAAACACGTCCGCGAATTGTTGAATGAACGCCGCAGTGAGCTTACTAAGGCTGAGGATCAAATGTTTAAAGCATGCGGCACACAGTCCTATGAAGCAACATTATCGAAATTAAACAGCACTGTGGAAAAATTGCAGGTAATTTTGTAATGCATAAAATATTAATTAGTCTTAATCATTCTATTGTACTGTATACCATATTCATATATATTTTTTCAATATTGTCATTTAATTAAAAAAGACATAAGTTCTGTAAGAGTAAAATAATTAGAGTTTTGCTTTTATTAATTTTCCAGGAAGAACAAAATATGCTCCAGTCATCTATGTTCATTTTTACTAAATACAAAAATCAGCTAAAAGACAATAGTTGCTGCCCACTGTGTAATCGAGGTTTTGATTCAGAGTCCGAGGTATGTAGTTACTGCAGAGGTAAATCATATCTATGTAATAATATACATTCTTTTAGGGCTATTTAAAATAAAATCGACATACATCCATCCATTACAACCTATAAACGTCCACCGCTGAGCATAAATTGCCTCAAATTTTGCCATAGCTACGCTTGACAGGCGGGTTGACAACCGCAGTTTTTTTATTATTTTGAGGATAAGGAAGATCCTGCTGCCCATCACCTGTTCCAATTTCTCTCTGTCTGAATAGCAGAATATTAGGCAAAATATTCGTCCGGGTAGGAATTAGTGTTTATTCTTCGGAGTGTCTATTCTTTGAAGCTGGCATCATCTATGGGAAGAAAAGGAGTAAACTACTGCCTGGAAATGAAGAAAAATTAGTCTTTCTGCACCATTATCTTCCACTTTAATTACGGTAACTCAAGTGCATGGGCATTTATCTGATAGTGCTTTTTTAATTTTTTTTTCATGGAAGTTAATTATGTACCTATGACTACTTTAATGATAACAAGAATAAAATATATAAAATAAATATTTTTATTTTACCAATTATCTGACTACAATAGAACCTCTTACTTAAGTGTTCGGTATTCGGCCGAATAGTAGCTAGATATTCGGTAATCGATCGAATAGGAAAGTAAGCCGAATAGGCCGAATACCGAATAACAGTCGAATATTCGTTGCAAGTCTATTAAAAACCCTTTTTCATATATCTTGCAGTTATAGTTTCACTAAACATAAACAACAAAAAACATAACTATCCTATAACCATGATAATAATTCAGTAGCTTGTATACATCCCTATGCTAAAAACAAACCTGACTTAACTCTCCTTATGGGGCAAAAAAAAGCATCAACTGTGTAGCCTCAATGAGTGTTGGCTGATTTTACATTCATTTTTCATTCTTCGGGTTTCCTCATTTAGTTTTATTTTACCGCCAAGCACATGGTAAATCAGTACTTAAAATTGCAATTGACAATTTTATTGATGTCACAAGTTGAGAAGGTTTGTGAAGGCCATTTTGGTGGAAGAACTGACCACCGATGGGGAAGAAAGATTAAGTGGCAGCCGTGTACTGGCAAGGGAAGTGTAGCGTGTCCCTTCCTTATAAGGAGTTGACGACCTGATAGATAGTGCAGGAAGTCGATGGATGCAGATAGCTCAGGATTGTGCTTTGTGGCGTTCCTAGGAAGAAGCCTCTGTTCAGCAGTGGATTTGTATAAATATAATGATGATGTAGACTTTTTAAACATTCACTTATAACCTAACTACACTAGCTTCATATTACTAGAAAAGTCAATTAACTACATATGCAATTTAAATTTTTAATATGTGCTAGGTTACAGATTTAATATCGCAATTAACAACTCAAGTGATGAATGTACCCGCTAAACAAGAAAAGGTAACTGAAGAACTACAAAGAGCGTCAGCAAAGAAAGACGATTTGCTGAGTATGAAAACTTTAAATGAGAAGATACAGACATTAAAGGAAAAGGATATACCGACACTTGAAAATCGGTTGAGTGACGTTGATAAGGTAAGAAGAGAGTAATTATGCTAACATCAAGTGATTTTTATCAGAATGTTTCTCTCTCTGGTTTTCTCTGGGTTTCTTGCTAGTTCTTTGCAGCTCAAATGGTTTCTTAATCCAGTGATGGTAAAAGAAAGAGATGTTTATTAAAATAAGTATTATTAATAAATATAAAATCTCGAAATCTTTAAAATTACAAATTTTAAAGATTTCGAGATTTTATATTTATTATATTATTTTATAGCAATACCCATAACTGTTTTGACTCCTATTATATATTTTTGAAAAGCAATTAATGTAAAACATTGCCTAAAATACTAACAGAAGCCAGAACTAAGAGATAACACAAAATAGTTAATAGTTTGTACCTTACGTATTTAACCATCAAATTCAAAAAAGCATGTTTGATGATTGTGCAAAAACTTATGAAACTCCATCCTCAGTCCTAAAATAAATCACAAAATGGGAAGCTATTATAATTTGCAAATATAATTTAAATATTTACAAATCTATACAAATAAATAAAATTTAAGTGTCTCTTTGTTATGTTAAAATATCAGTTTTTTACTAAATGCATATGAAAGTATACATATATGGTACTTAATAAAAATACACAATTTTTAAAATTTTTGTCTGTTTGTTCCGGCTAATCTCCGATTTCAGATTCACTGGCAGATAGCTAATGTTATAAGGAGTAACTTAGACTACTTTTATTTTAGAAAAATAGGGTTCCGCGCAAAAAAATTAAAACCCATAAAATCCAATCGTAATAAATTCCACGCAGGCAAAGTCGCGGGGACTATACAAAGATGCAAAGCGAAAAAACCAGTCAAACCAAACATTAGCGGAATATCAGTCATTTTTACCTCTGCTATAACTTCTCTAAACTTATTAATAACAAAATACAATTGGTCACTAATGAAAATAATAATATTTTTATTTTTTAGCAAATAGCAACATTGATTGAATCATCAGAAGAATTATCAATGTCTGTCATGGAGCCGGAGCAGAAGCTACAAAATGCGAGGCAAATACAAAGTGATATGCCGCTCCTAGACCGATTCACAAACGAAGTCAGTGCTGCAACTAAAGACGTGAGTATTATTAGCAGAACAATTTTATTTTAAAATTGTCTTGCTTAATCACTTTGCAATCTCATCTAAAAATATTAGTTATATTTGTTTCGTAATATATCTGCGACACATTATGTTGTTTATAGTTTAAAATAATAAGAATGGAATTATTTTTACCGCTTTTGCCCGCAGATCAAACAATTACATGGGTCCTTATCTGTACACTAAAATATATAAAACAAATAATAAAGTCTTGAATAAGACCAGATTAGGTTGTAGATTATTAGTACATAAATGGTTACAAAACATAAAATATGAAGAAACCGAGGCATTATTAAAAAATCTTATCTAAACTAATAAAGCATACCACATTCGCGCACAGTATACCAGACACATTAGATGTTGTATTGTTATTAAGCCTATAGGCGTACACTGTGCCTTAAACGGATAATAATATCTTAAATAAATAAATAAACCTGATAATCTAAATGCATATTGAGATTAAATAATAATTTAAAGGTTCTGAATTAGTACTATAAAAGTATAATATTATGGAAATATACGAAATTTAAATGTGACCAATGTTAAATATAACATAAAAGTGTACACCTGACACATAAATATGTGTTAGTTTTTCTTTTGTTTAACTTTTCTTTTTTTGTGTTGTAAACTATGTATGTGAGAAATCCACTCGTACATATGTAATATCGGCTAATCATTAAGTTCTAGATAAATGGGAAGACTGGTCTCCACGACACAGGCAATCCTAGTGTGGAGCCCAGTGATACTGTTTCAAATAATAAAATATGAGACTTATAAAATATATAATATTTCTTATTCTTATTTCTATCTATTAATGTATTTAAAAATAAAGTTATTAACACTTTATTTAATTTCTTTATATATTACTATATTAATTTTTGATAAAATCAGTTTAAAATTAATACACTGACGTTACCAGAAATGCTATCAGGAAGGGTAGCTCATTTTTTTGCATCACGCTGTTGACGTAAACAGTCATTCATTAACACAATGTAGCAGAAACCACAAAAGTGGTGTTAAAGGAAAGATTATTGAAATGTAGATTACATTTTAGTTCATATAGTTATTTATTAGGGAAACTTAAAATAGGCATCAAAAAATGAAAAATATGATATCTTAAGAGTTGTTACAGTAACACTGCAAACTTTAAATTATTGGTAACGAAACATACGACAAGGAGGTTTTATATAGTACTAGCTGACCAGGCAGACGTTGTTCTGCCCTTTCCGACAACCATGTGTCCTAATAAAAACTTAAATTCACAATAAAAAAAATTGAGGGTCACGTATCGGGATAAAAACTATCCTATCTCTCAAGTTGGACCAAACTGCACACATTGTGAAACATTTCATTGAAATCAGTTCAGTAATTTAGGAGTTCATCGCGGACAAACAATGTGACACGTAATTTTTATATATAAAGATATAAAGTCCGCGATCATATTATTACAGTTAAAGACCATTAAGCTTTCCCATCGTAGGGAGGATTTACTTGAATTGTCACGTATTGGGGGTTATTGACGAGAACAAAAGAAGTTTTGTATCTTCGACGATGCCACCTGTCACCGGTCTAGTTATTTTATCCGGCGTAAAGATATGGTTATACCACCACCTATCAGAAGTCTTATGATCATTCATTTTCCACAGTCTCTCCTTAAGACACCCAGTGGACAAAATAAGGTGATCTTAACCTGCCACCACTCTGCCAATTGTTTTACAAACTCTTTAAAGTGAAACGATAACATAAAAAATCCATATTTATACATGGTAGAGCAATGCTGCAGTTATATTGTTAACTAATGTTACGGCCTACGGCTGCTCCTACAAAGATAAAATCCTCCGGGGCCCATTCAGCAGAAGACTTCACGAGCAGACGCAGGTCGGGCCTCAATATGGCCGCGTGGAAATGTTCTATCACAATAAACTATATGGAAAATATTGTATCCTACTACAATTAAAGGGGAGGCTAATCAAATAGATATTACTTACCTGTATGTGAGGCGACTGCTGTCTCAGTCTGCTGTCCTCTACGTGGTAGAGCCATTAATGCAGCTATATTATGGTTGTAGCACGAATGGGTCGGCTCGACTGGAGTATGACCACGCTCTCACAGAATACCAGCGTGAAGCAGATTAATGTTGCTATGTTCCGTATGGTGAATGTAGGGAACTAGAGATTCTTTTTACTGGAAACAAGGCATTCCATCGTAGTCCTCGGAGGTGACAACGCATTGTGCATTTTGATTCTTAGTAGAGGATAGATGTAGATGTCTATGGGTCACAGTATCCACTTTCCTTCAGATAGACTACACACTTGTTTGTCACCCTTATTCTACAAAAAAAACTTTTTTCTTTGTCTCATGACAGTTGACTGTATGATGTGTTGTTTTATTGCCTTAACTGATCGGAACTGCATTATATTTTTTGATTATTCCGAAGATGATTTAACCTATTGTAAGCTTAAATCAAATTGGTTACTTTATATACAGCTGGAAAAAATTCAAGCTGAGTGTTCTAACATGGAAATGGATATCAACCTAGACGAGGCAACAGCAAAGAAGAATGAGTTAAGGCAACAAATTTCTTCATTGAGGTCTAGTATTAAGACTGCCCAAACAAAACTCAATCAACATACCAAAAAGTTGCAGACAATGGCCGAAAAGAAGAACAAACTTAAAGAAGAACTACTTAATGTGCAGAAGAAGGTTTGTATTTTTATTATTTTTATTTAAAATACCCTTACTGAAGTCAAGATTTTAATGTTAGAGAGGAAATCACTATATGATTGAGCATTTATTATTTATGTCATCCATTAGCTATTAAATCATATTTTCGTGTGATAATGGCGGCATACCTGTTCCAGGTTTTCCCTTTCCTCGTCTTATGAATCATTAGGGTCCATTTTAATATTTTACATTGGTCACCTTGTTTCATTACTGAATTGTCCCTTCATCGGAATTGGAAGCTTAAACATTAGAACTATTTATTTGTGTAAAGTAAGCGACAGTAGCCTAATTGTAATAAAACTTAAATAATACGGATAAACGAAACTTAGAAGTCGAAGTCATGTGTTCAAAGTCGGTTATTGGGGTAAACAAAGATTATTATAATTTTAACCCTTTACCTGTCCCATGAATCATGTATGAACATTACTATTGCTTAACTATTGTGTCTGTTTCACAGACAGGGAAACTGTTAATAATGCTACTATAATGCACTTTTTTTTTAAAATTAAAGGTTATGTTTTTTGATATTGAATTTATACTTGACAAGGTTTGAATGGTATTGACTGTAAATTACAACCTTATAATATTTCATACGAGCCTGAAATTACATTTTTAGTTGTTCTATTTTATACTAAAAACAATTTAGTTAGATAGCAAATTGTTAAATCAATTGAATAACGTCGTACATTCCTATAGCTAAGATTTATTAGTAATTAGATTAGATTTAAGAAACTGCTATGAAACTTGGCACCCTTTAAGGTCTTAGCTCGTTTGTAGACAAAACCAACAAACTCCGAAAATAGTTTGTATCGAATTTGACCCGTTTTCATTTACGTTTTTGGTATATAATAATATAGTCTAATTCAAATGCATGGAGGACACGATAATCAGAAGTCTGATTTTACATGGTAGTCTATCCCCTCCATTCTGCGGACTAGAACCTCCTACTTGTGGGCTATGAGAAAAATGTCGTGACTCTATTAATACAATATTATTGTATTGTATATTATATTGTTATTTTATATAAGAGCCTTGGCTCAGGGGCTAAGCTTTCACGATACTCGGGCAACCTGTATTCGATACCCGTCAAATGCCAATGAAATAGTTGCAATTTTAATTGCTTATTTACCACCTGATCGGCTATGAAGTAAAAGATCACAAAGCTGCATGTATAAGATTTAAAAAAAATATTACCAATACATGTGAAGTCCAACACACATGCATTTGGACAGCGCAGAGGTCATTTCTTTGCCCATATCTCTCTAAAATGAGAGGAGGCCTGTGCTATAGGAGATATAGAAACTGTTAACTACTATTCTATCATTTATATAAGTAATGTTTTATATTGTAAATCGGCGACTCCGTGGCGCAGTGGCTCGGCAATGAGTTTCTGCGCTGTGGGGCGCGGGTTCGAATCCCGCACGGAACAAGTATTTCTATAGCCTACAAATAATTGTTCCGGGTCTGGATGTTTGTCCTTGTGCAACTTGTGTTTTTAAACTGCCTTCACGATACAGGAGAAAATCCTAGTGTGGGGGTAACGTTTTTTATAAATTTAAAAAAAAACATTAGTATTGGCACAGATGGTTAGCGCTCGATGTAAATTTCACAGTACGTGAGCAACCGGGTTTCGATCCCCGCCGGCACCAATGAAACTGTTAATTGCAATTTTAAGTGCTGATTTACCACGTGTTCGGCGGTGAAGGAAAGCATCGTAAGGAAACCTGTATGTCTGAGGAATAAAAAAAAATCGAAGACATGTGAAGTACGCCAACACGCATTGAGGCAGCGCGACGGATATTTCCGTGCCCAACCCCTTCAGAAATGAGGGGAGGGCTGTGCCCAGCAGTGGGACGTATATAACTTTAACTTTCACATTGTAAAACATTGAATTTGGTTTTTTGTACAAACTCCTAACAATTTTACACAGGTTCAAGAATTGGTCAACTTACAAGAAACCCAGAAACAATTAGAGTCAAACAGGGAGAAAGCTTTAGTTGAATTAAAGGAGTTACAAGATTCCATTGCGCCTTTAGAATTAGAAGTTAAAGAAAAAGAGAAAGTGAAAAGTGAATGTGTGAAAAAGAATAGGTAGGTAAATTTACCTGAATGCCATTCATATTTCTATAGTATATAGTCTCTAGCTATTTTTAAAAAGATTAAAAGATTTTTACACTTAAAGACATTTCAAAACTTATACAATTTGATACATATAATAGACATTATTTAAAAAACCTTCAGATAATTAGAACCCATTGAATACATCGATTACAGGAGTGCGATCGACGTTAAAAATGAGTACATAATGAAAATCAAAAATGCTTTTGATAAAGTCAAAACAATCAAAATGGAGATTAAACAACATAAAGAGCGCAATGTCCAGTTGGAAATGGATAAAATTAAGGAAGCTAATGAGAAACTTATGGAAAAACAAAAGCAAATTATGATCGATAGGGACACACTCACAAAAAAAATTGATAGCTTAAAGGATGAACTTGCAAAACAGGACGTAAGTTTTTTTTTAATACTCAGGGGCTATTGTTTGATTTCCGCAAAAAAACTTAATATTTTTTTCTAATGCTTGCATGTGTCACTCCAAACTATGTTCTGGTTTTTTATGTGGGCCTTAAATAAGATACTGAAGCTTAAGACGAATATACGCCTATGCTAATTCGTCGGATTATAATACTGCATTGCATGCCTTTATTTAAGTATTTTTTTTAATCAATTTTGTATTTGTTTAGATCTACAAACGTAACTTGGAAGATAATTTAAAACTACGTAAAGCTCAGACTGAGATAGCTAATTGCGAGAAGGAATTGGCGGCTCTCAATGAAAAACTGAGTGGCGTGAACATGGAAATGATTGCGGAGAAGGAGCCGCTCATGGCTAAACATGAAGAAATATTCAAGGATAAATTACAGACTGAAGGTCTACTCCGCGGATATAAGGTTAGTAATTAAGTATCAATGGACATTGCTCTGCGTCCATACATTGTTCGCCCTGGAACCAAGATCATCGAAAAATTATGTATTTTATTGTTGATCATTAGTAAATTCCTATTTGATCTTATTTTTATAGCGGACTAGCTGCATAATAGATATATTTCAAAAAAAGTATCAGATTTTGAGGTTATAATCGAACCATGAATATTACGGTTTTTCATAGATCCGAGTGATTTTTAACAAACAGAAAAACGATGTCCTAAAACATTTAGCTATTTCTAGTACCTATCTACATAATTAGGTATGCAATTTTTGTTCTAAAGCCTAAGTGTATGTAAGTGCAACGTATAAATGCATAGAATGTAGTTAACAAACCTGCTTTCTGAGCATTGGTTTTGAAATGAGAGATTATGCTTGTGTGTATTAATGTAAAAATAAAAATATATGTATATAATGGCTGTTAGCATTTAGATGTTGTCATTAGCATAAACGGTACGGTAAGATACCTAGTACCTAAATGTATAAGGATTTAGGCTGTCAGTCACGCCGCTAGACATGCCGTCGAACAGCGAGCGTATCAACCACGGTTTCAACCAAGTTTCAACAGTGCGCGCATGAACAGCGTGAATATTATAGACTACTATCTAGTACATTTGCAAGCGTGTGCGTCTGGACGGCGCTGTTCAAACGCGTGACTATGAAACCAGCCCTACCGACTTAGTACCTAATTGGTAGTATAAGTTGTTTTTACACGTACATTAACTTATTATGTTTGAATTAGAAATAAAACACAGATTAATTTCATGTTTATTGTTCATTTTCTAAATTGGAAATAAGAATATTGTCTAAAAACTGTGCAGGGATGTCGATATTATTTTGATGTCTCGTAAAGCTCAAGTACCAAATAATGGTCATAACATGGGCACAGCAACCGATGGTTCTGCGTACAACGATGCAATTACAGCAATATTGCACGATTGCTTCTCTGTTCATCTTTAAACAATATTGTACCACCAGCAGAGCCGCTATTTACACAAAATACACTTTCCATTGCGTATGCGTAAGTCCGTTTATGAATACTAGGTTATCGTTTGAGTGGTGCACAGTTCCAAAAATCACAGCAAGGTAAGTCGTTCTTGAAAGCAATCAGAGTCCGTTAAAATAGCCAAGTCGTAATGTTCCATATATAGTCCCGAAAGTCACCACAACACCGATACAATTATGTACAAAGACAATTACAATTGCAAACGACGCCAACCAATGTAACTTTGACAGAATTAGAGATGACGGTACAAAGTAGGCATGTCCATTTGAAATCGTTTAATTGATTGTTTATAGTAACAGAATCGATTTTCCAGATCGATACAGATCTGAAGAATCCTTGTCAATGTCGATACAGAAACCTCTCGAATCGGACTTATTCAAGAACTAACTATATTTCAAACGATTCAAGAAATACTTTTGCATAGTTGGAACATCTGTTCCTTGTGACAGACAGAAAAACTGTTCTGTTCTGGGTTCGATCCCAGGGTCGGGCAAATTATTATTGGGTTTTTATAACTTGAAGTTCCCAGTAGTAGCACGGAGTCTGGATTTGTGTCTGGTGTTTGGCAATACGCGCATCCCCTATTACATGGGATGTATAACATAACAGTACTTACACACCTCTACTCCTACTCCTTCTGGAAAATATTGGCGTAATGTTATGTTTATTAATTTAATGATTTTTCTATACAGTTACTTGTATTTACGGTAAGTTATCGTCAATAATGTTCTGTGTCTATATTAGGCATATTTGAAAATGTCGCGATTGATCAAAAATAGATCTGTTAATGCTTGATTTAATCGAGAATCGATTCTAGTATGTTCGATTTGCATCGATTTGGAGATCATATTTTTTTCATGAGAGACTGACAAGTGACCATTTAGTGACATCTAAAATAGGAGTGCCAAATACGATACACTTATGAATATTTCCTAAGATTTATTATAGCCGTACGTTACAAACAGTATACCATCTATATAGTATATATCATCTTTTGTCATACGATGATATTAATACCATAACACTGTCCTACTTTACTTATAATAACACATACGTCTCTACTTCTTCCATACTTGTAATAATATTAATAATAATATCTGTATCTATTTATAATCTGTGTGCAATATTGCTCTTTAAAAAAAAACATATTTATAATTAATGCAGTAACGATAACAGTTTTTTTTAATTAATTGTCGTAAACTCGTAAGTTATCGTTTAGTAAGACGTAAAATATACTCCTGTCTAAACGATCATCAGAAAATCATGAATAATTATCTTTACGAATATTTTTCTTCAGCAATATTCTAACTACCTATTCAAAATCGAGTATGACATTCAATAGGTATAGTAGGGTTTTAAAATTATACTTGTATGGAATAATATAAAAGAATATAAAGAAATGGTAATATAATATTTTTATTGTAGCTTCTTTTAGCAACTTTATTGGACATAAATTAAAATGTAATTCAGATTAAAAAATATACAACAGTTCTTTAAAAATTAAATAATCGATTAACAATCGATTGGGCATCCCTAATCATTTTTCGACACCACATGATGTTTGGCGAAGATGGCGGCGATTAATGTTATTAGTCGAATATAATACTTTTTAATGTTCATTTTTGCATGCAGCTAGTCCGTGCTATAAAAGTATTTGCAACTAATATAATAAAATAGAAAATTAATTATCGTGTATGTCCGATGCTTTTATTACACAGGGCGGTTTTGGACATTGTCCTTTGTGTGACGTATGAATGAATGTCAGACAGAGGGAAATAAACCAGAAAATGGGCTACAGCATCTTCGTAATAACAACTAAAAAAATCTAAAAACTATGAAGAGATATATGGGGAAGGCTTTTATCCAGTAGTAGATTTTGATAGGCTGCAATGGAGTACATAATACATTATCATGATTTTCACATTTATAATTCACTCACTATTGTATATGTTATTTTCTTAAAAATGGAAGGTTAAAACCTGCTGTTTAACCAAAGCAAAGTTTTAAACGACAAAAATATTTACAGGACAGGTTAAAACAATGTAAAGCTGAACTAAAAAAAGCAATGAGCGAGGGTATAGAAAAACAGTACAGAGAGAAATATTATGATTTGCACGTCATGAGAGCTGTTGAAAAAGATATAAAGGATTATTCTGTTGCCTTGGAGAAGTGCCTTATGGAGTTCCACAGAGAGAAAATGGAAAATATTAACTTAATTATAAGGTTTGTAAAACTTTCTTTTATTTCTGAACATTAAATCCCAAAGCTGAACATGAGCCTCCAATTGTAAATAATAAGAATGTCCTCCAGACCAAAATTCAGTCACGGCGGCCAGTATCAACTGTAAGTAGCCATCTGCGCGGAACAGAATTATAGTGCCCAAGATAAGTGCACTCTCTATTACCTCACTCTCATAGTACAATGGGACGGTTATCCGACACAACCGGAGAGAGATCAGGCGCAGGAAGGACGGCTTTACATGCTCAAGTTAAGTCCTGCAAACGTCTGTCCAACGAAGCCTCCAATTGTATCATACTAATAAGGCACATACAAGATACTTATAATGCCGTCTATCAAAATTTATAAAATCTATCTTGCATATTATTTTATAGAACCAGAGACTTTTCCTGGTAATGAGCTATTCCATCTGACTCTTCAGAGGTGGCAACGCATTTGAATTACGATTCTTTAATGCTATGAAATAATTAAAAAAATATATGCAAGTGTCTGTCTATCGGCCAAAGCATCCAAATTACTATCCGTTGAACTGTGTACTTGTTGTCACTCTTACATGAAAACGGAGTTAATGTATTTTCTGCACAATAATTTATTTTACATAATATGATTCCTTGCTAATTTCTTGCTGTTTTACAGAGAAATGTGGAGAAAAATATATCGAGGGAATGATATAGATTATATTGAAATTAAAACTGAGGGAAATGCAACAGTTGATTCTGATCGACGAAAATATGATTACAGGTACGAAATAGACTTCCGACTTAACATATTATTAAACGGCAGGAATAGTTTAATATAACACATGAATGCCATGCCTGAACTAAATATTCATACAAAGTGGTTTTAGACTGCCGTTAAGTGTTGTGTGCTAGGCCTTTTTGAATCGATACCACCCCTTTACTTATAGAATAGAATCTATAAATTTGTAGGTAGGACCAGCAAAGAGAACTCAATGAGACTCTTTATCAATTTTTTATTAATTTTTTTAATTTCTCGTTAGCAATTTGTAACTTTTTATCGACGCCGTTTTGACAGTTGAAATTATTGTAATTGTTCTTCTTCTTCTTTTAAATTATGGCTTCTCTTGATAGAATTCTGTCAGTGTCAAGTCAGTCATGGGAGTGACAAGTAAATATTTATTACATTAAAGAGTTCTCAATTTTACAAGTGGGTGGGTTCACAATCTACAACAAAAGCCGTCACATTTTTAAGTACCATCACCAAAATTGATTAGTAATTTTACAGTTTAATATTATTAGTACGAATAAAATCACACAAAATATTTACAAAAGGAGTATACACTAGGGACAACAAATACTGGAAATTTACAGTACGCGGGACGTAATGGGCCAGGATATCATAGAGAGAGTGAGAAAGATTAGGACACTCAGAGAACAGATGGTTTACGGATCCTTCGTCTAGCCCACATTCACATATTGAGCATTCCTTATCCTTAGTTTAACCAAGTGTGCCGGAGTACAAGCATGTCCAAAGCGAAGGCGACAAACAGTGGAGGTGATTGTTTTATTAAAGTGGCAATATTGAAAGAACCAGGGTTTTGATGGGATATTAATTTGGACTTTGGAATAATGTTTACATTTTAAAAGCTTAGACTGATGCCAGATACTTTGCCATGTAGACAGAAGGCTGGATCCAGCCTATGGTAGGAGGTCATTTGCATAGAGACATTGTTTAGGGAGGGAGCCAGATTTGGTGGCTTCTTTAGCTAAATGATCCGCAATTTCATTACCCTGAATCCCGCAGTGGCTAGGGATCCAAGCCAAGACAATTTTCAGCCCTTTTTTATGGCAGTTGTACAGAGACTTTCTAATATTTAAAATTAGGGGGTATCTTATCTTAGAGTGAAAAGGACTAGATGCAATGCTTTGAAGGCAACTGAGGGAGTCTGAGAAAATGAGAGTCCTTTCCAGATTGTGAGATTCTGCATATAAGACTGCCTCTAAAATAGCTTATTGTAATTATTTTGGTTTTATCGGGCGACAAAACTTAAGGTGATCATATTACCCACACCATGAAGCAAATACAAAGAGGACGTGTTGTAATTAGATTTCACTATGTAACAACGCGTGACAATTTGCGGGGTGAGGAGATATTAAGCACCGCCCACTTTTCACTATCTACATCTACCGATAAATAGTAAAACTCCTCGAATCGTTCCATATCGATGTTGCAATGTAGTTTAGCTACCTTGAGGATAGATGGCGGCCATTTCACAAAATTATTATAAACTATAACACGCCTATTGTGCCATCCGCCATGTGTAAAAGTAATGTTCTTTTTTATGCTTTTTTTACTTGTTTAGACCTAATTAAGTTTATTTGACATCAAACATAAGTTACAAATGGAAGCATACTTGTTTTTAGTGGGTAACTACGTGTTTTTTTTACGCGTTTTCTTTGTAATTGAGAGAAAGTGACTTTTTTATGAAGAGATTACAAACCTTTTGTACTATTTTTTGTTGATATAAAAATGTACAAAGTAAAAATAGTACCATGTACACGTTAAAAAAAGGTTGTCAACCGCCATGTGTAAAAGTAATGTTCTTTTTTATGTTTTTTTTACTTGTTTAGACCTAATTAAGTTTATTTGACATCAAACATAAGTTACAAATGGAAGGATACTTGTTTTTAGTGGGTAACTACGTGTTATTTTACGCGTTTTCTTTGAAATTGAGAGAAAGTGACTTTTTTATGAAGAGATTACAAACCTTTTGTACTATTTTTTGTTATAAAAATGTACAAAGTAAAAATAGTACCATGTACACGTTAAAAAAAGGTTGTCAACCCCTAAAAATTTCAAATTTTCAAAATATCCAGAAACGAAGCTGCATGCATAAACTACTCGCAAAATGAATGAATATTTTGCTCTGGATAAATTTTCCAAAAAAGCAATTTAAGCGAGTTATAAACGATTTTTAAAAAGACGACTCGCGTGTCATACACCACACACAAAAGTAATCGATGGCACGCCTATCGTGTCACCCGCACTGAACCGGTTAATTATATTTGAAAGCCGACGCAGAGATTTTTCTAGAACTATTTTAATAAATTAGGTGTAAAATTACTTACAAATCAAATGTAATGCCATCCATAGCATCAGAGCGTCTATTACTTTTAACACAATAGAACACAACACTTTATTCTTTTCTTTTTAATACTACGAAAATACACCGATTTGCGATTTTCAACGCGCACGCGCACAGAACGAATGCTGACAATATACTAACTAAAGCCACGCCCACTATGATGACGTCAGGACCTCCTTAGAATCACAGTGCACAGTTGCTTATGCCGTCTCCTCTTTGTATTTGCTTCATGACCCACACTTACCTTATTTATTTTACGTTTGTTTGTATCCAGGCTAGATTACCTTCATCAGGATTGATTATTGACCGATCTATCCCGTCAGTTGTTGGAATTTGTGCTATATGGCGGACCCCATTGTCACTTTAACTGTTTCATTGGGCTATGTCAGTTAATATTATTATGACTACCTAACATAACCCAACTTAGTTCATAGTTCTGTTACGGATAAGATTCTAGCTTGATTGCCATTACAACGCAATAATACAATTGTCAATTTGTCTAGCAATTCTCGTGTATAGCTGAGATATAAAAACAAAGTTTGAACGACCTGTGAAGTCCGCAAACCAACACTGGAGCAGGTTGACGACTCATCACAACTAAAATATTCGAAAGATGTTTAATATGTTTTGTTAAACATTTAATGACCATAGGTGTGTTGTAATGTCCTCGGAAACAGTTAAAAAAATCCTAAATTCATAAAAATTAGTTTTTTTCATCTAACGAGGTGGTCACTCCCTCTAGTGGGGCTGCACTAACGGAGTGACGACCTAGTAAGAGATGCAGTAAGTTGATAGATGCAGGTGGCTTAGGACCATGCTGAGCCATTCCTTGCAGAAAGCCTATGTTTAGCAGAGGACTTGTGAAGGGCTGTAAAGATGATGATGATGATAATAATTTAAAATCTAAATACCTATCGCCTGTGATGACGTACAAAGCACAGCTTATAAGCATTGAATCGCATATAAATTGTCTAATACGAATGCATTGTATTTCAGAGTAGTCCAGTGTAAAAATGGCGTCGAGATCGATATGCGGGGCCGGTGCAGCGCCGGTCAAAAAGTTCTAGCTTGCCTCATAATAAGATTGGCACTTGCAGAGACCTTCAGTACTAGGTAAGTTATCTTTTTGCATTGCAAAATTTTAAATTACTTTTTCATTTACCTGCACGGCACCGGCACGGCGACTCTTCGTTTTTCCACTGCGCTGGTGCCAGTGCCGATCCACGCTCGGGTTTTGGGCAGTACTAACACAGAAATCAGTTTGATAATACGTAAAAACGGTCTTGTCAAGTTGTCGTATTTGTTTGTTATATCTCTTACATTTAAGACGAAGATATAATCGATGTAGAGAAGTCAAATTTTGAATTCATCTAATCTTAATAATAAAATCTAAGTATTTCGGAACATATTATACCCTTAAAAGTTGAAAATGGACTCTAAAAATATTTCAACTACTTCCGCATGAACGAGGAGACATTTCATCATTTCACATGTCAATTTCGAGTCTTAATCTGAACGCGTTCCTTCTACTTCGGCCCGCGCACACTCACACGGCTGCAATACGTACACCCTCCTCTGGGCTGCATTTTCTTTCGCATTTACCACGGGGAGTGCTCTGAGGAATTGTTCGGATTAATCCCAGCCGCCAAATTTCACGAACGCACATCGCGGCAGAACTCCCGATACCATCCACACCATCTGGATGATTGGCGGTCCACCACTGTGCGATTTAGAAGATGTTTTCTTCCTCGCACAACTTCCTTGTGGAATAGTTTACCACCAGCGATTTTTCCGGACCGATACGACTTAGGGACCTTCAAGAAAAGAGCCTACTCCTTTTTAAAAGGCCGGCAACGCATCTGCATTTCCCCTGGTGTTGCGGTTGTTCATGGGCGGCGGTAGTCACTTACCATCAGGTGAGCCGCATGCTCGTTTGCCCCCTTTCCTATAAAAAAAAACAATACACATGCAGTTTTGCCGCCCGCAATGAGTGGGAAGCTTACTGTCTCGGCACCGGTGGGAGTCATCCTCGTGCCGACGCCGTCGCCGGCAAAAGGAAAAACATGCCATATATATCATACATTTTGTTACGAGGTTGGGGTTCGAGCACCTGGCCCGCAGTTCTGGCTTTTACTCGTTTCCCTGCTGCTGCTGGGTGGTGCTGTTTGCCGCACTACCCTCGAGATCGGTCACCTCCCCTTTCTACAGTTTGCTTAGGGCAAATGGGTCGAAGATGGCCCCTTTCCCCAAAACCGTAGCACCTAGGGCTATATCCTATATTGCGGTCGCGGACTATATCTGCTGAAACCTCCCTGACGCAATGGGAACGATGATCCCGCCGCACGGCTTCCACCTCCAGTGCATGGGCCAACGCGTCCTTAAGCTTCTCGTGGTGCCCGAGCCTCACAGCAGCTCTGACTTCAAGTTCGCGGATGCCGTTGATGAATGTCTGCGCCAGGTTCCCTACAATGAGCGCAGGTACAGACAGGTATGCTTTCCGATCCAGCTTAGCCTAGCTTTTCGTTGCTGCGTTGCACGCGATCTTTGAGCTGCGCACCAAAGACGTGTTCCAGGTGAGCGTCGTCATATCTCGCCTCCAATGCTTCAAGGAGCTGCTCGTAAGTCACTTCCTTACCGAGAGCTTCCAGAACAGTTAAGGCCTGGTCGCGCATGCCTAGGGTGAAAGCAGTCATGGCCTGACTTTTATTCCAGCCGTTCGCCTTCATGACAGCCTCGAACTGGATTTTGTAGGCCGACCATGAAGAAGTCCCGTCGAACGGCGGCACTTTGAATCCACGTAGCGAAGGTGTTGCAGCTACCGCGGGAGCTTTAATTCCATCCCGTCGTCCAGCGTTTTCTTCACGTCAGCTATCATGTTGTCAACCCGATTGTTCACTTGGTCGATTCGGGTTTCAGCTTTCGACAGGCGGCGGTTTTCATGTTGAGCAACTCTATCCTTCACCTCCCTTATCTCTTTACCGAAGGTAGCGTGAAGGTCCTTCAATGAGGAGCATCTGCTCTTCCTTATCGCGTTTGAGCTGCTTTTCTAAACGACGGGCCTGTTCCTCCTGTCCCCGCTGCAGCTGCTCTTCCAACAGACGGGCCTGTTCCTCCTGTCCCCGCTTCAGCTGCTCTTCCAACCGAAGGGACTGTTCCTGCAGCATCATCAGAGCACCTAAGTCAGGTACTACAGATGCAGGAGCCGCTGACGGGCCGGCCTCCGTGGTCAGCAGCTGGCCCTCCGACGTCTGCCGCGTTCCACCACAAAGTCGTCTCTGGTCCGTCTCCTGCTGGCGTTGACTTCGAGTACGGATATTCTCCGTGTCATCCTTTGGTAAAATCGGCATGATTTGATCCCACTTCTGACACCAATTGTTACAAGCTTGGGGTTCGAGATGATTAAAAACTGCCGAGTGAATTACAAAAATTGACACATACAATTAAAGAACACTAATTACAACTTAAAACTACACTAATAACAAAACACAATTGTACTACTCTGCAGTCATAATAAAGAAGGACGCAACTAACAAAAACGTAAAAGGGAAATAAAAAATAAATAGATGAATTTTTCTTTTAGACTGCTGTGTCTAAAGTATATTAAAAGTAGTGTCCGACCGAAACAGGATTTTCAACCGAAACCGAAAACGAACCTTCGGTCGGCCGAAACCGAAACCGAAACTTTTTATATGTGTTAATTTTTTTTATTGTATACTGAAATCTGGTAAATTTTTTATACATTTACAGATAGGTAATGCATGTTAATGAAAAACAGTCATTGTAATAGTCATGTAGCAATATATTTATTTATTTTAAAGTAAAAATCAACAATTTAACGTTAAGAAATACTTTTTAAGTCAATTTTGTAGAAAAATCAACACTTACTTACACCCATAAAAAGTTACTCGCTAATTGAGAACATATTTTATTTATTTATTCTTTATTGCATTCCGTAATTTAAAAGAATACAAAGGGCGGACTTAATGCCTTGTGGCATTCTCTACCAGTCAACCCATGCAGTGGTGAGAATTTGAAGTAGGTGTAGCAATATAGAATAAAAAGAAAATAGAAATGTATAATTAATTACGTTATATATACATTTTACTATTATATACAATAAATAAACTATAAAAATATATCCTATTTATACATGTATACAAATATATACGTACATACATAAGCATACATATATTCATACCAACATACATATACAAATAATACATATAAATAACTATAAATATATACGTCTAAAATATAAATGACATGGATGATTCATCGTTGTCTTTAACAGATGATTACGCACCAACTTTTTAAAAGCAAACTTATTGGGAGCTTTTCTGATGTCGTCAGGCAAGGAGTTCCAAAGGCGTGCAGCCTGAACTGTAAAGGAGTTACCATAGAACTCGGTGAAGTGAACTGGAATACATATTTTGTTGTTAGAAGACGAACGTAGAACCCTATCATGAGATGAGGCGAGATAGTGAAATTTACTCTTAAGATAAGAAGGCGAAAATGGGTCATTTAATATGGAAAAAAGAACAAGTAATATTCTGGAAATACGCCTCTGCCGGATTGTAAGCCAATTAAGCTTAGATCTATATTGCGAAATATGGTCATACTTACGAAGCCCGAAAATAAATCTTATACAGTTATTGAGAAGGCGTTCCAGCTTGTTCAGAAGATCCTGGGACAGATCCGGGTAACACACATCTGCATAATCAATTATGGGTAATATGAGTGATTGGACAAGCATGATCTTAAGACTTTGTGGGGAGAAAATGTTTTAAACGATACAGAGTACGTAACGTAGCAGTGACTTTACGACTGACTTCAGTAACCTGAGTTCTCCAATTCAGCGTGCTGTCAATGTGTAGGCCAAGATTTTTCACATACTTACTGAACGGTATTGTAATCCCATTGTAGTAGATAGAGGGTATGTCGGCAAGATTAATCTTGGCTAGCATCCTTGAGCTACCCACCAGTATAGCTTGGCATTTTAAAGGATTGACCAATACACCATAACGAGTAGACCAATCCTTGATAGCTTGTAAGTAGTTATTTAATTTTTTAATCCCATTATGGATATCCCCAATTTCAGCTTGCACGTATAGCTGAAGGTCATCGGCATACAGATGGTACGAGCAATCGAAGATGGAGGTAATAAAGTTTATAAAAATAGAAAAAATTATAGGAGAAAGAATACCGCCTTGCGGTACACCAGCTTCCACATCAGCCCAAGCTGAGGTTATTTGCCCCACACAGACTGACTGCTGTCGACCGCGAAGATAAGATGCAAACCATTCCAATGCTGTAGGGCCAAAATTTAGATGAGACAGTATGGATACAAGGATTTCATGATCAACTGTGTTGAAAGCATTTGAGAAATCAACTAGTACCAGTACTGTTACTTTTTTTTCTTCCATACCGTTTCTAATATCGTCTGTGACGTTAATTAATGCAGTACTGGTACTATGACCAGGGCGAAACCCAGACTGATATATACTCAGTAGGTTATGTTTCGAAAGGAATGTAGAAATTTGCTTGTAAACACAGGATTCTAAAATTTTAGAAAGAAAGGGTAGAATGGATATAGGGCGAAAATGATTGGGAAGAATGGGAGAAGGAACTTTTGGAAGGGGCTTTATAAAAGCCCTTTTCCAAAGATTAGGGTACTGACCTGAATCAAGGGAAAAATTTATAACATGGAAAATTGCCGGAAGAAGGTGCTCTAGTATAAATACTACCATTTGTCTACTAATCTCATCATAACCCACCGCCTTGGACTGAATTGCTAAAATAGACTTTTTGACATCATCCTGCGAAACAGGAGAGAAATTAAAGGTAGGTATATTAGGAATTTGCACAGAAGCAATGGAAGCCACAGTTTGAGAGCGAATTGTAGGGTCCATTGTTGTTACAGAAGCGAAATGTTGGTTGATTTCATCAAGTGATAGAGAAGGACCACAATCCAATGTAGCTGGCCTGCAAAGACCAGAAGATCTAAGAAATTTCCACACTTCGGCGGGAGAAGAGTTGTTAATACAATTATGGAAATATCGGCGTTTAGCTGCCCGTACCATTTGATTGCACCTATTCCTGGCTGCTTTAAAAGA